CTATGAGTCGAAAACGACTCGATGGCACATAACAACAAACAACAAATTATACTTATAAGAATAAAAGTAAAATATACTCATAATACTTATATTATGTCAGTCAAAAAGAGGCCTATAAAAAATGTTTTGTTCACACTACCCTGTAGTCTATAAAGTAGTATAATAAAAATGTTTGAAATATTGTGTGAACTGCCAAAATATGACACAGATATTAAGTAAGAACATATTGCTAGCAAAATAATACCAACAGACTAGTTTGATTCAGGGTTGCTACAAACCTTAAATCCTTGAAAAGCACTGTATTGTCAATGCATAATAAAATGAAGCACAATAAAATGAGGTGTGCTTGTAAGTGGGATACAATGTTAGAAAATAGTGGTAGATAGGTCATTTCAATAATGTATGTGAGAGGTTCAGAAATGAGCAAGCGAACACTGCATATTTCAAAATTGGAAAGGGTGAATGCCAGGGATGTGTCCTGTCTCCATACCTTTTCAATCTATATGCAGAACAGATTATCCAGGAGACTGGGCTCTATAAGGAGAAATGTGGCATCAGAATTGGAGGAAGGTTAATCAACAATCTGCGTTATGCAGATGACATAATCCTGTGTGTTGAAACTGAGGAAGACCTGAAGTGCTTGCTGCAGAAAGTCAAGGACTGCAGCCTTCAGTATGGATTGAAGCTCAATATTAAGAAACAAAGATTCTCACCACTGGGACGACTGGCAGCATTGTGATGGATGGTGAAGAGATTGAGATTGTAAACAATTTTAGTTTGTTTGGTCCCACAATCAATAATCTTGGCACCAGCAGCCAGGAAAGTAAAAGACGAATTGCATTAGGAAAGTCTGTTGTCAGAGACCTCTCCAAAGTTCTGAAGTGCAATGGTGTCAGTCTGGAGACTAAGGTGCACCTGATATAGGCCATAGTCTGCAATTACTTGCTATGCATCAGAGAGCTGGACAATGACTAGAGATGATAGAAGGAGAATTGATGCCTTTGAGCTGTGGTGTTGGGGAACAGTGTTGAATATACCACGGACTGCTAAAAGAATGAAAAGGTTCATGCTGGAAAGGTTGAAACCAAGATGCTCCTTGGAGGCAAGGATTCTGAAGCTTTGTCTCACATACTTTGGGCATGTTGCAAGGAGAGACTAGTCCTTGGAGAAGGATGTCATGCTTGGGAGGATAGAGAAACAGCACAGGAGAGGAAGACCCTGGATGAGATTGATTGATTCAGTGACTGGGGTAAGGGGTAGCTGTGTCAGAGACAATAAGATTGGCACAGGATAGAGCAGGGTTTAGGGGTGTTGTACATAGGGTCACTATGAGATGCAGGTGACTTGATGGCACATAACAACAACAACAACAACATGTGAGAGGGATCATTAGTCAAACTTTTACATGAAATTTTCCTGCATGCTGCTTTTCTCCTAAATAAGTTCACTAAAAATGTTGACATAATAGAATTCAAAGCAGATAACATTGATCTAGCCATAAAATACTTGAATTACAAAAATACACTTAAGGAAATATGTTTTATTATTTTTAAATTAAAGTATATATTTTAGCCTAACCTAGAAAATATCTACTAATAATAGAAAGAAAGTGAATAAAATACCTCATAGTGAACACAAGGTATGATTAAAAAAGAAAATTCACTAAAAATTATCTATGATAAAGTTTAAATTAATTCTAAGTTGTTTCTTGAACTCAATTTCTACAGAACAATTTTCTTTTTGATTCTTATATTAAAGTTGTAAAAATTACTATAGAAAGGTAGCACATTATGTTTGTTTCTTTTACAGGAAGATGTTCTATGTCTTGACAAAAGTGACTTATGAGTTGGTGGTATATAAATTAGAGGAGTTATAATACTGAGAGTTGCAATGGGCAAAATCTTGAATGATCTGTCAAAAGAAGATGGAAGGAGTACACAGAATCACTGTACCAAAAAGAATTAATTGACACTGAAAAATTTCAGGAAGTACAATATGAACAAGAGCCAATGGTAATGAAGGATGAAGTTCAAGTGGCAGTGAAGGCACTGGCAACACATGGGTCCTAGGGATTGATAGAATACCAACTGACATGTTTCAACTTAGAGATGCAACCCTGGACTTGCTCACCAGTCTAATGCCAGGAAATCGGGAGGACAGCTGCCTGGACGACTGACTTGAAGAGACCCACATTTGACCTCTTTTCCAAGAAAGGTGATCCAATAGAATGTGAAAATTAGAAAACAAGATCATTTATACACACACACACACACACACACACACACACACACACACACACACCAGTAAATTGTTTCTAAAGATCATTCAAAAAGGCTAGAGCAGTACATTGACAGGGAACTGTCAGAAAGAAGTTCAAGCAGGATTTAGAAGAAGTGTGGCACAAGGGATATAATTTTAGATGCAGATGGCTCTTGTCTAAAAACAGAGAATACCAGAAGAATGTCTATTCATGTTTTCTTGACTAAATAATATCAATATAAGAGAATAATATTATCATAATGAATATAAGATCAATATTATCACAATCAATAACATCAATATAATCTTATAAATTCATTATCAAAGTAATCTTAAAATTATAATTTTATAATCTCATAGTCAGTATACTCTTATAATCAATTATAAGATCAATATTATAATCAATATTATCATAATAAATATAAGACATTAAGACAATATAATATCAACGTACTGAATCAAGAGAGGAAAGGTCAAATGCAATATGATTTGTTTATTTCTAGCTTTGAGGCAGTTGTCATAATGTCAAAACCCTATTTTGTTCCTGTTATTTACTATCAAGTGGGAACCAACACATAGCTCACCTCTAGGGGTTTTTCAGAGGTGAGAAGTTACAAAGGAGAGTTCTCATCTTTCTTCTCCAGAGCAGCTGGTAGATTTGAACCAACTATCTCTGAGTTGGCGGCACAACTCATTACTAACAAACCACTAGAGGTCCCTAAACTTTTTGTTTCTTTATTTGTATTAATTGACATGAATTCTTTCACTGCTGTCAGGGACTTCTCCAGAATGCTGATAAGCAACAACGTCAGTCTAGAGACTAAAGTGCGCCTTATTCAGGCCATGGTCTTTGCAATTACTTGCTATGTATTAGTGAGCTGGACAATGATTAAGGATTACAGAAGAAGAATTTATGCCTTCGAGTTGTGGTGCTGAAGAAGAGTCTTGAACATACCACGGACTGCCAAGAAAACAAATAGGTCTGTCTTGAGAGGGTAAAACCAAGTTTCTTCTTGGAGGCTAAGATTTTGAAACTCTGTCCCACATACTTTGGGCACATTGCCAGGAGAGACTAGTCCTTGGAGAAGGACATGATGTTTGGAAGGGTTAGGGCACAGCCTGGGAGATCAATTGATACAGTAACTGCAGCAGTGGGGTTTCATGTGTAGGAATTAGTGAGACTGGCTCAGGACAGGGCAGGGTTCAAAGCTGCTGTATGTAGGGTTGCTATGGGTCACAGGTGACTTGGTGGCACATAACATAACAATTCCTATAAAACTTAATCAGTATGCTGAGCAAATTATTCAAGAACCTGGACTCTGTGAAGAGGAATGTGACATGAGGATTGAAGGAAGACTCATCAATAACCTGCATTACGCAGATGACACAATCTTGCTGGCTGAAAGTGAGGAGGACTTGGAGTACTTGTTGCAGAAGATCAAGGAATGTAGCCTTCAGTATGGATTGTGTCTCAATGTCCAGAAAACAAAGATTCTTACCATAGGACCAACAAGAAGCGTGATGGATGGAGAAGAAATTGAAAATGTCAACAACTTCATCTTGCTTGGACCCACAATTAACACCCTTAATTAACATGAACCAGGAAATAAAGAGACACATTGCACTGGAACAATGTGCCAGGAACCTCTCCAAATTACTGAGGAGTAATGATGTCAATTTGAGGTCTAAGGTGTGTCTGACTAAGTCCATAGTCTTTTTTGATTACTTGCTGTGCATTTAAGAGCTGGGCAATAAATAAGGATAACAGAGGAATGGATGCCTTTGAGCTGTGGTGTTGAAGAAGAGTACTGAACATCCCATGAATGGCCAAAAAGACAAACAAATATGTCTTAGAGAGGGTGCAGCCAGAGTGTACTTTGGAGGCAAGAATGGTGAGACTTCTCACATACTTTGGCCATATTACTAGGAGAGGCTATTCCTTGGAGAAGGCCATGATGCTAAGAAGGTTGGAGGATCAGAGAAGGAGAGAAAGACCTTCAACCAGGTGCCACATTGGTTACTTGTGTGTCAGGAAGCATGAGGATGGCACAGGATAGAACAGGGTACAGATCTTTTGCTCATGGAATCACTATGAGTTATACTCAACTCAATGGCGCCTAACAGCAACAGCTCCTGTAAAATACTCCCAACATTATTGCTGTGTACTAAAGAGTGTGTTAGCTCAAATTTTAGTTTTTCTATTTGAAGTTCCTCAATTATTAACTAGAGAATTAATGTATTAGAATTATGTTAATTATTAATGAGAGAGGCAACTTACCCAACACTTTAAACTCAGTTTATTTAAAAGGAGAGTAAATTCAAACAGTTCTGCACATCGTTCCCTGCTACCTTCAGCCATGGGCCCTTTAGGTCTACTGTATCTTTTAATCTTTCTTGGGGAGAGCTGGGGACAGGAACAAAGGTAAGTAGAAAAACTAATATTCACATTTCAATGTATCTTAGTTGTGTAACTGAAAACGTTCTTTTAACAGACTGCATTAACTTGAAAATAGCTTCCTATTTCTGAAGCATCAAGCGAGCAGTTTGGTCTCTGATTGAGAAAGGCATGAATGTATTTTGACTTAAAGAGTGGCAGTTTTTAGGGGAATGTTACTTACAAACATTTAATAATTATTCAAACTCCTATTAAAAACTATTATAACTTAAATTTTCTTGGAGCTTCTTATTATATATGAAGTTTCATTTTCTGTGTATTTTTCATGTGTTTGTGTTGCCATGAATGTTAGGTGTGAGCTAAAATATTGACAATTCTTATTCACCCAGTGGCTCTACTAGTTAAAAGACCTGATGTTCTGCTCCAGTATATATGTAGGGTCTGTACAAACCACTGGGCAGTTCTCTTCTGTTTTATAAGGTTTCTAAGGGGCAAAATTGACTCAAGGGCACACGAAAACATGTTTATATATACACTTAGTGTTTAGAACGTGGCTAGCACACAGTAAGCCTTCAGGAAATGTCTCTATGTCATCACAGCTGAACTTTTCTCATTTTCCTTTGCTTTGTGCTAAGCCATGGTTGAACATCTGAAAATTATTTTCTCTCTCTAGCAATTTTCCCTTAAGTGATTCTAAATTAGGTGTCAGATGGAACAGAAAATTTTAATTCTTCCAGAGTAATTCTATTATTATTAAGGATGCACTGCTTTTTAAGTCATTTTAATATGTCATATGTTGACAAGAACCTGCAATAATTCTTTCAGATGGGCTGAAGTGCCCCAGTCCTGTGTTTGACCACTTGAATTACTCTGTTATTAAGCACCTTGGAGTTGAGACACATTTTTATATGTTGTCTCTCTATTCAAATTAGATTCTGTTGTGATATATAATAAGCTTATTTGGTAAGTTCTCATTTAAGAAAGCAAATGTAGCCTTCTTGGTCCTCTAAAAATTTACCACTATTACATAAATCATATGAAAAGTAAAGGTAAGGACACAGTTTATGCTTGAAAATAAGCCTCATAAACTTGATCTCAATTACACCCTTAACAACTAAGAGAGAAATGAATGTGGAATCTTGCCTCCTCGACTTACATATAGGCCATGTGACTTTGGTCAACTACTATCTCATTACAAACAAAGCAGAAATAAGAAAATGCATATATCATTGGCATGTTGTAAAGACAGAAAGACAACACACACTATGATAATCTCTGGTATATGCTCTTGTTCCTTGGTGTTGCCAAGTTGCCTACAATCAATAGTGACCCTATGAACAACAGATCGGAACCGTGTCTGAACACTTCCTCACATACTATAGCTCATTATGGCAGTCTCTGTGTTAATCCACCTGGTTGAGGGTCTTCCTCTCTTTTGCCATCCCTCCACATTCCCAAGCATGATGTCCCTCTCCAAGGAATAGCCTCTCCCAGCAACATTCTCAAATATATGCGACAAAGCTTTGTCATCTTTGTCTCCAAAGAGCACTATGGCTATATTTTCTCCAAGACATATCTGTTTGTTCTATTGGCAGTCTAAGGTATATTCAGTGCTCTTCTCCAACACCTTAGTTCAAAGGCATCAATACTTCTTCTATCATCTTCATTCATTGTCCAGTTCTTAGATGCAAAGCAAGTAATTGGAAAGACCTTAGCCTGAATCAGATACACCATGGCCTGAAGTAGTCCTCACACTGATATCATTGCTCTTCAATAATTTGGAGACGTCTTGACTGCAGAATTTTCCAGGGCAATATGTCTCCTAATTTCCTGACTGCTGGTACCAAGGGTGTTGATAGGTACCAGCAGCTGATTGGTAGTCTGGTGTATAGCAAGACCTAAATCACTGTTAGTTATTATTTTGTAAATATTAAATCTTCAAAGACTTCCATTACCTCTTCCATTTCCAAATGCATCCTTCCAAGTCATTTGTGTTTTATTCTTTGCTCGCTCCCTAGGATAACACAAATATCTAAGAGTGCCTCTTTTCAACGAATTTAGTGGAATTAATCTTCATATTTATTGAGTAACAGTCATACTAAGCAGGAAGCAGGAGTGGCATCCACTTCCTAAACAACATGCCTCCAGGAACTCTATGAACTTTGATAAATGTTGATAGTTGTGGAGGGGCTTCAAGCCTTTTATTCATAGGCTCGCTATAGCATAGCATAGAGCCATGCTCTACTCCAAGGCAATCAACAACAACAGTCATACTAAGTGCTTTCCTTTTCTCATTCAGTTCTTAAAATACCCTAAAAGTGAGGGAGATTTTTTTTAAAGATAAGTTATTCTATCACAGAAAAGATCATAACTTAATCCTCACTAGAGAAAACTGAGTCTATATGTATGTTCCAGTAAGGAGATGTGCCGTCACCCTGAAGGCATGTGCTTCCAGTCTCCTTGAATGTGATTTACTGCCTCTGGAAACCATGCTGAAGGGTCAGTTCCAACTTGATGGTACATAACAATGTAACAACATAAACTTATTTTAAACTGGAAGATCATTTAAACTCTTCTTTGCCTGCACTAACTCTAGAAGATGCTATTATCATTTCAAATATGGACCATATCTCCAGTTGCATTATTCAAATCTCAATTCAAAGCATACTGATTGATTCTTGGAAACAATGATTTCTTTTTCATAGATACTAAATAGAAACATAAGAAAATATGTTGTATAAAGATATTAATCATTTTTGCTCTTCCTTTTTCAACAGGCAAATAATTTCGGCACCAAAAGTATTTCATGTTGGAGCATCTGAAAATGTTGTAATTCAAGTTTATGGATACACAGAAGCATTTAATGCAACAATCTGTATTAAAAGCTATCCAGATAAGAAATTTCAATATTCTTCAAGCGACATTTCTTTATCTCCAGAAAATAAATTCCAAAACTCTGCTATATTATCAGTATGTATATGTCTTTGATTATCTTTATATAATACATAAAATCCTCAATAAAACGTTTGCAAAGTTTGGCTATTTATAAAAGAGAAATTTTATAATTTACGTCTCCATGTCATTTTGTAATTATTAAGTTATGTTAGTCAATAATAATTTGAGTGAAACAGAAAACTACATAAAATAATTTTGTCTGCTTGCTGAACAACACATGTAAGTCTTCATTTTTACCGGAAAGCAAAGTTTTATTAAAGTGAAAATATTTGTGCAGGAATTGAAAATACATTTTTACTGTGTTACCATATTGTAATTCTAATTACAAAGAGAGAGAGAATAGAAATGATTTATATTGCATTGCTTATAAAACTCCATACATGCTATTGAGCATTTGTTTTTTAAATTCTGATATTCTTTAAAAAAAATCTGATATTCCGAAGTTAAAGGTTTTACAGTTTTAGGTAAGACTGAAGCAAAAAGTAAATAAAAATTCAGATTCCACCAGAACTTTTTCCCCTTAAGGTTTGAAAAACACTGATCTAAATAGCTTTAACCAAATGTAGAAATTCCTTCATTAATATATTGACGATGATAAATGCTTTTATCTCTGAACAAATACTCCCACTTGGTTCATTAAAAAATATAAGATGCATTTCCAAAATGTTCCTTTCAGGAAATACTCTCTTACCTCAAATGATGAGGTCCAGCAGTCTGCACAGTAGCCTCTAGCCTCACAGAACTTAAGTTTATACTTAAATTCATCAGAGTTAAGATTCATTGCCTTAGTTTAATTACAAGTACCAGGTGTTCAGTAGCCATATGCAGTGGTTACCATATAGCAGAGTAGAGATATAGAACATTTTTATTTTTATCAGCCCGGAAATGTATATTATATAGTGCTCTGTTAGATGTATGATTTTAAAAGTAGAATAAGGTGGGGAATAATTAAAATTAAAGCATATATTATTTTTTAAAAAAAATTTGTTATCTCATTGGGTCTTAACAATGAAATACACATTAATTTGTTAATGGTTAATTTTTCAAGATAAGTTCTGGTTAGAACTTTAAATATTATTTATTACATAAACTGCACCTCAGCAGCATATCTTTGTTTGATAATTTGTTTTCTTTATATTTTCTTGAATGTACTTATAGATATGTGTAAAGGACTGAGAGCAGAATCTTTATAGATTTTCCCCTAATCTTCTGTTATAATATCACATAGCCAATTCCATAGCAATTGGCCTTAGTGATTAATTTTTATCCCAAGTATTGAAAGCCAGTGATTAACTCTTCATAGGGACAATTCTCTTTTTTGTTATTTTTTTCTATATTAAAATTTCAATTATTTAAAGCAGATAATTACAATCACACATATAAATGAAGAACAACACAACTGGTTTTTAGAAAGAATGCAGCTTAAATCATGAGAGCAGATGTAAGAAGAGTACAAATGTTTAAGTATCAGTTAGGATGATCTACCCTAGGACTGGGAGTGGAAAGTAGTCTAGTGAGCTAATTAATTGTGAGCTAATTAATTAAGTGAAAGTTTATCTAAGAATGTCTGCAGTATTCGTTTTATGACTTTCATACATTGTAACAACAATGTAATTGTGTAGCATCAAGTCTACCTACATGCCACAGGTAGTTGACCCACCAGTGGGTTTTCAGAGGCAGTTTACTCACGTGGGGGAGATTGCCTACCTTTCTCCCACAGAGCAGCTGGTAGTTTTGAACTCCATGCTTTTAGAATTGCAACACAGTTCCTTACCAGTGGGCCACCAGAGCTCCCTAACATACATATTTTGTGTGTATCCCTATTTTTATCTCAATCTCTCTATTTGTGATACATGGAAACGTATATAGCTGAAACCTGTCAAAGGAAGAAAACACAAATATTTTTCATTAAAATAAGTGATAAAAATAAGCTAAGGTTATTATACTTTCTGAATAATGAAAAATGTATGAGATTCAGAAAAACAAACCAGCCCATTCAGTTCTGGATCTCAAAGTACTCTTTTGTGTAGTGTGTGTACTTATTTATAATGTTGGATACTTAATGTTTTCCAAAATTTATCTACTGCTCTAGTTTCTGGGGAAATCCCTGGATAGTTTAATGATTATTGCATTTGGCTGCTAATTGAAAGGTTGGATGGTCAAATTCTCCTGGAAGCATGTAGGTAGACAGTCCTGGTAATCTATTTCTGAAAAATCATCCACTGAAAATGTTACATGCTTGGGTTTACCAGGAATTTGTATTAATTCAGTGGTAATTTATAGTCTCTGGGTGTTTTGCCAAATGATTCTGTTAAAATTACTTTTTTCCATCAACATTTTCTTTTATAGATACCACCCAAACAATTGCATGAAGGCCAACAGCAAGCTTCATTTGTATATTTGGATATTATATCAAAGCACTTTTCAAAATCAAAAAAAGTGCCAATCATCTATGATAATAGATTTTTCTTCATTTATACAGACAAACTCATTTACACCCCAGGCGAATCAGGTAGAGTATACTTCTTTCTCTATGGAGAATAAATGACATTATTCATATAACTTTTGACACTTGAAATTAAACAGATACAGGTTTTGTTGACTTGCTCTAGAGTCTCAATTCATAATGAATCTTTAACTTGCAAAAACATCATCATTTAAATTTGCATGTAATTGGATAAATAAAATATAGGATCAGCAAATATATTAGTTGCTCCACAGTTATGGCCAAGTAAAACTTTTTTTAAAAAAGTTATGAAATGCTGTGCAATGTCTTATTGAATCTTATAACTAAAATCTGAGACCTCTCATAACTATGAAGGCTTTCCTTCAGAAATACCTCATTTATTAATTATTTCTCTGTCAAAACTTTAAGAAAATAATACATATTCATTTTTAAAAGCAAGACACTCCTGTAAACATTGTTAGATACTGATGACTGAGTTCCATCTCATAGCACACCTCTGTACAACAGAAGTTAACCCTTTCAGTCCTGTACCATACTGACCCCTTAATAAGAGCTAGACTCTGCAGCTAGATTGTCTGAGTTCCTATCCCATCATTGGCAATTAGTAGCTAAAATGTTCCGGTTGAGTTATTCAACCCGTGTCCAACTTTCCTTATCTGTAAAACAGGAATGTAAATAGATCTTAAAGGGTTGTTATTTAAAATGAAAAGCTTATACCTAACGTGTTGTAAGAACTAGGAGAATGTTTTCCAATATTACTGAGTCTGTGAAGTACCGCAAAGTCTTGTTTTCTGTTTAAAACTGTAATATAGTATGCTTGTATAGCCATATAGTCATTGTTGTTATCCGCCGTTGAGTGGACTACAACCCATTGCTGTGAACAATGGATCTGCATCTTGTCCTATCCTGAGCCAACCTCACTGTCTCATAATTATGGAGACATTATTATCCATAGTTGTAGTTAAGTGCCATCAAGTTGACTGTGACTCACAGCAACCACATGAACGACAGATTTGAACCTGGCCCTGTCATGTAGCTCCTTCACTATCTGCCATGCTCGGGCCCATTGCGGCAGTCACGGCATCAGTCCACCTCATTCATGGCTTTTCTCCCCTTCTTGACCTTCTACCTTTCCCAGCATGGTTTCACACTCTAAGAACCAGTTTCTCCTGAAAATATTCCCAAAGTAAGCGAGCACTCTGGTTGCCCGTCTTTCCAGACAGATTTGTTTATTCTTTAAGAATACATGGGGTAAAAAACAGGACTGGCCATCCACTTCTGAAATAACAGGCCTTTGAAAACTGTGGACAATGGTAGCCATACAGTAGATGCCCCTCTTTTGTGGCTATAAAATTTTCGATGAGCAATTACTTAATTCTGTACTTTGGGTGAATTTTAAAAAGTTATATATGAATATATTTTCATAAACTGAGTAGTACTTTAAATACACTAAAGAAAAATATTTAACATCATTTGAGAAAATTCTCCTTTTAGAAACAGAATCCTTTGGGGTATATATGTTCACAAAATATTTTGTTTACATAGGAAATATTGTGCACAGACGGCACATTTTTTATTTAAATGATTTTTTTAAAGAAGAATTATTATTTTAAAAAATCAGAAGAACCTTCCGTTCAGCAGAAATTTTTAATTATTTTAATTAATCTTACAGTGAAGGTTAAAGTTTACCCACTGAGCGACGACTTGAAGCCAGCCAAAAGAGAAACTGTCTTAACTTTCATCGTGAGTATATTCCTCTTATTTGTATAATAACTTAATTAATTTTTAAGATAAAATTAATGAAAACTTTGCTTCACACTACACTAAATCATTAAATGTTTCATAAATGGCTATTGAATACCTACTCTAACTCTAGCATCATAGGTCCAGATCTCTTCCCAGTAAACATATGAAAGACTCTTAAAAATTAAGTCTATACACATTGAAGGACTTTGAAATAAAGTACACAAACATACTCTTGTTTGTTGCTGTTAAACACCATCGAGGAAAACTCATAGCAACCCTTTGAACACTATATCTGAGGCATCCTCACAATCTCTGAAATGCTTGTGCTCATTTTTCCAGCCATTTTGTTAGTCAATCTTATGGAGGGTCTTGGAGAGTTTTTTTTTCAAAGGACATCAAGCACTCACTAAGAATTAATCAACTATTATGTTTAAAATTTTTTACTTGGACAATTCAAAAATTACAATCCATGGTACTTAAGAAATTTAAAGTCTATAACTGACACATTAACAATGTAAAAAGTAGTGCTAAACTATGAAGCTATTCAATGTTCCTAAGACATCATATGAATAAAAGATGATATGCACATGTATCATTAAGTCTTATACTTTTGCTTGGTTTGTGCCACACTCCTACACAATATTTGTAGAAAATAAAATATTGGAATATAACAACATCACCTATTAGAGGTAGGAATTTCAGTAGTGGTTGTGTGTGTGTGTGTGTGACAGGTTTCAACAGTTTTTCTTCTTCTGAAAATCAAAGCAAAAACTTAGAGTGAAAGTGAAAACAGATAAGCATTAGGACAACTTGAATCCTTTCTAGCTTTCAATTATCACAAACGTTTCAGAAACTTTAATATCTTTTTTTACGAAGTATGGAACCCTTCTTGAATTTGCATGTCATCCTTGCACAGGGGCCAGGCTAACCTTCTCTGTATTCTTCCAATTTTAATATATATACTGCCTAAGAGAGCATTTTAATATCTATTTTAAAACTAATTATCTACAAAACTGTTCCAAAATTGTGCTTGGCAACACTTGACATAGACCAAGTCAAGACTGTTCTTGACTTAGGAATTCAGAAATGAGGAATTTCACAGAGGCTGAGGGCATCTTCTAGCTGGAGTTTGACCTGGGTCTAGAATAAGGACTAGAATTTGGGTATCTGATCAAGAGGGAGAATTTGTAGGAAAGCAAAAAAGAGTAGAATAGAGTGGGAGTGATAGGACAGAAAGAGAGACACATGATTTGAGAGTGGATAAAAGATTTGAAAGTGAATAAGGCTAGAGGTTTAGATAACTAGGTCTGGAAGTTAAGATTTCTGCAGCTTGCCTTCCAAAGTCTTAATTAGAGATTTATAACACAGGCTTAAGACAAAGAATGGGAGTGCTCTCTCAGGAAAATACAGAATCCTGACACCACATGAGGAAGCATGCCAGACACCCAGTGTAAGAAATGACTCTGGAAGAGAAGAGGTCAATTGATGGCATGAGGATTTGACTGACAGATTGAGGAATCTAATGTGTAGAAGTGTTTTGAAAATGATACTTGAGACAACCTCAGTGCCCATCAATGGAAGAATCAATAAACAAACTTGGTATATGTGCACAATGGAATACTAAGCACTGTTAAAGAACAATGAACAAGTCTAAAAAACTGCCTAAGATGTTTGGATCTGGAGAACATTTTGCTGAGTGATATTTCAACTTATTAGTTGGTTATGAAAGGACAAATGTAGGGTCTGTTATTATGTGGTTGGAATGCTAGTGACCTGGACAGTAATGAGTTACCCTCTTGTCAACCTAAAGGCAGACAGAATCCACCTGCCTCTCCACAGGAGAAAGGTGGACAATCTCTTCCTGCAAAATTTATAGCCTTTAAAAAACCACTAGAGGCTCAACTGTGAGTCGATTCTGACTGGGAGACATATGACTACCAAAAAAACCCAACACACAAAAAACAAATCAACACTATTATTAAAAGATAAGGAAAGCCTTACACATTCTTTGATGGTTACTAGGATGGGAGGGAGGATGAGAGATAAATAATCAGTAATAACATAATAGTTACATTGAGAAGAATAAGAATCCCAGAACTCTAAATGATGCTCACAAGAAACCTGTATCTAGACGGAGAAGCTCTTGTGTAAACACCAAGAAAATGCTATATGGCTTAAAATGAAGGAAGGCGTGGTGTCCGGGTTGTATCCTTTCTCCATACTTGTTTAATATGAATACTGAGCAAATAATTCTAGAAGCTAGACTTTATGAAGAAGAATATGGTGTTAGGATTGGAGAAAGAATGATCCTTTACACAACTTTGGTATTTGGATGACACCACCTTGTTTGCTGAAAGTGAGGGAGAATTGAAACATTTGCTGCAGAAGATCAAACACTGCAGCCTTCAATATGGATTGCATCTAAACATCAAAATAGCATAAGTTCTCACCACTGGAACAACAGGCAATGCCATAAAACTGTTAACGACTTTATCTTCCTAGGATCCACAATCAATAATGCACTTGGTACCAGCAGTCAGGATATCAGGAGTCATATTGTGCTAGGAAAGTCTGCAGTCAGGGACCTCTCTAAATTACTGACAAGCAATGATGTTAGTTTGAGGACTAAGGTACACCTAATTAAGACTATGGTCTTTTAAATCACTTGCTATGCATCTGATAGCTGAACAGTGAATAAGGGTGACAGAAGAAGAATTGATGCTTTTGAACTGTGTTGTTGGAGAAGAGTACTGATTATCCCATGGACTGCCAAGTAAACAAACAGCTATGTCTTAGAAAAAGTGCAGCCAGATTGCTCCTGGGAGGCAAGGATGGTGAAGCTTCGCCTCATGTGCTTTGAGGATGTTGCTAGGAGAGGCTATTCCTTGGAGAGGGACATCATGTTTGGAGAGGTGGAGGGTCAGTGAAAGACAGGAAGAGCCTCAATGAGATGAATTGACACAGTGACTGCAACTATGAGCTGGAGTATGTCAGAGATGGCGAGATGGTACAGGATAGGATAGGGTTTAGATCTGTTGTTCATAGGATCATTATGAGTCATGTACACCTTGACAGCACCTAACACAATAACAATATATAATAAAAAAAGTAAAAACTCCACTGCCTTTGAGTATATTCTGACTTCATAGCTACCCTCCTCCACGTTTCTGAGGTTATAAATTGTTACAAAAAGAGACTGCCTGTCTTCTGCAGGGGGGCAGGGAATATACTGGTAGATTCAATCACTGATCTTTTACTCAGCAATGCATTTTTCCACCAGACCTTCTAAATAGGTCATAAACACATACTAAGATAAGTGAAGGGGAAGGCAATACACAATAAGGAGGTGATTAGGCACAGTATTACTAGAGAGGAACACATGAAGAAGTTCCCAAGGCATACAGACATCAAAGGTAAAATTATTACGGGGGAATCCTGTATTATCAGTAATAACAAACATTAATCTACCAATAGATACATAGGCAAACAGGTAAGGTGAGTAGATATGGACAGGTGCAAAGCACTACACTCATGACTATACCTAAGTTTGCCAGATATTTCTAGATGCATATTTGTTGG